AAAGATTAAAATAGTCTACAGCGTAATCGTGCTCCCTAAATAATAAAAAAAATTATAAAAGTTACATCTACTTACGATAAGGACTAATGGAATGACCATTCAAATTACGTATCGCCTTAATAGGATACGTTTTGCCGTCCAATTCAATTTCATAGGATTCCATAACTTCCTGAATAGCAGCGCCAATATCGCATAGACGTACATCAATACCAGCTTCCTTGATACCAGTATTGGTGGCATCTTTAACGGCCTGCAACAAAGGATCATATTTGTTGTTGAACGTCAGCGTAAAGGCACAATCAATAATGCGTCCCTTGATGTGTGTACCAAAATCAATTTTGCACACATCATCATATTGCAAAACGGTAGTATCACCAGCATTTGGTGTGTAATGGGCAGCACAATGATTGAGAGAGCAACCGGTGGGGAAGGCCAAACCGGCTTCCAAACCATTTTCGCCTATTAATTTGCGAGCAGTATTTTCGAGTTCTTCACAGATTTGTATCATGGACATGCCGGGTTTAATATAACGTTGCATATACTGACGAGTCTGTCTATGGGCTTCGGCCGCTTGACGCAGTTCCTGATAGATATCATTATGAGCACGATCTAGGGCACGTTTTTCCTCGGAAGTGAAACGATTGGCGGCTACGGTATCATCAGGTAAATGTTTGGGTTTAGGGTGATGCATAATTTCACCCTCGGGGAAATTGCCATCGGGGAATAGTTCGGAAATGGGTATGGAGGGTGGTTCGGTTTGTACCTTTTTCTGGTTCTTATTTTTGTTTTTATTCTTTTTCTTATTGCCCGACTTCTTTTCGCCTTCGGCGCCGCCGGCTTCACCATTTTGTTCAGGTTTGTCCGCTTCAGTACCGGCTGTTTCACCCTCTCCACCATCGGCCGCTTTCTTGGCAGCAGCTTCAGCTATTTATTAGAAAAAAATATATTAGAAATGTTCTTTTTGTTGCAGTTGCATGAGTTGGATTTACCTTGTCTCAATTTCTTATTATTTGGTTTAGGTTTCTTTTGTTTTTTAACCTCTTCTTGGGGTGCTGCACTACCGGAGACCTCATTGGCTTCGACAGCTTTTTCAACATTTGAGGGCACATTGCCATCAACTTTAGTTTCCTCCACGGCGGACATAATGTTATTTAGGTTGTTTTTTATTTATTTAACAAAAATATAAAATTATTTCAATTATTTGTACTAATCAACAACCGTACAAATGCAATTTCTTGATAAAAGGAAGAAAAAAACGAACACGAGTTTTTTTCTTCAAACCAAATGACAGCAAAAAAAAAAAGAGAAAAAGAAACGTTTAACAACACTATCCCAAAAAAAAAACAGACGAAGAAAAACACAACACTTAGCAGCACTGAATAAAACATAAACAAAAATTATAAATTTTATTTAAAAACATTCTAATTTATATTTTCAAATTTGTTAAAAATATTACAAATTATATAAAATTATAGTTTTATAATTTTAACGCATTTTAAAGTAAATTTCTTTAAATTTATTAATGGCAGTATTCATATATGAGTAAGTGTTGGAAAAATTGTATTTTTATCACTTTGCAACACCGAAACAATGTCATGAACACAGACATTCTTCTACCACAAATGACATTTTTTGTATATTTTGTAAACAAATCAGCAGAAATATTAAAAATTTTTAATAAAATTCCTTTATTTTAAAAAATCTATAGAATATTTCTTTAAAAATGGATGATATATTCTTTCCCACGCAAAAATCTAACAATCTCAACGATTCCGATGAGGTGGATTTGAAATTTTTCGATTCTCACCATGAACACAATAAAACCACCAGCGAAAGTAGTCAAAATTCAGACTCAGACAATAAACCAGAAGATGGCAAGGATTCAGATCATAAAACCGAACATATGACGGCGGTTAAAAGGGAGCAAACAGAAAATAAAGAAGATTCGGAGGATCAACAGTGTGTAAGTCGTAAACAAAAGTCCAAAAAGGAATTGGAAGAGGAGGAAAGAGAAAAAATGCAGTAAGTTGTTGGGTTTAAGGAGAAAAATTCACAAATTTATTAAATATTCCAAAATTACTAGGGTTTTGGTGTCCAATTTCACCGAAGAACAGCTCGATCGCTATGAAATGTATCGACGTTCGGCTTTTCCTAAAGCGGCCGTCAAAAGACTTATGCAAACCATTACCGGCTGTTCGGTTTCACAAAATGTAGTTATTGCCATGTCCGGCATAGCCAAAGTGTTTGTGGGTGAAATAGTGGAAGAAGGTAAGTTGGTTTATACAAGATTTTGTTCTGAAGTTAAAACTTTTATGTTGTTTTTTCTTAGCCTTGGATGTCATGGAAGAAATGGGTGATACTGGCGCCTTGCAACCCAAATATTTACGTGAAGCTGTACGCCGTTTAAGGCAACGCAATCGTATGCCTATAGGCAAATTTCAGAAACCTTATTTTAGATTGAATTGATTTCATTTTAGTTTATTTTTTAGACTTATAGTTTTAATTTTTCAATAATTTCATGAATTAAACTGCCAGTTTTAAGTTGAATTTAATAAAAAACAACAAATATTTTCTAAGAAATCTTAAGATATTTTAATCAAATAACAAAAAGGGATTTTTGTCAAAAAAAAAACTATTTTTTAGCAATTTTAGATATTTTCACTAAAAACAAAAAAAGTAAACACTTTGCCTTCTAAGAAAATCCTTTAAATTCCATCAGCTCTTCAACAAAACAACTATTTATTAGTTAATTATAATACACAGAAACATATCTGCATATAATTTTTTATTAAAATAACGTTATTTCATAAAAATTTCAATAAAATAGTTATTTATCTTTAACATCTACAAAAAATTAAACGAAATCGTATTTTTCCCTCTGTTGTTTGTTTACAAATGGCTTTTGACATTTGTTTTTTTTTTTTTTTTTGCAGAATAAGAAAAAACCAAACTTCAAATTCCTAACGGTAGTTCTTGTTTAGTTTTGTTATATTTTTTTCAGTGAAAAGCAAGTGAAGTTTTTGTAAGTGATAAAAATTAAAATAAATGTTAATAAAATATAAAATTTTAATGAAAAAAATGAAAATTAATATAAAATATTAGTGAAACAACATAAAGTATATGAAATTTTCTTAAAAAAGTAAGTAAATTCTTAAAAATAACACAAAATAAATGTGGTGGAAAAAATAGAGGGCTGCTGTTAGTGCTTTTGCTAATTGCTTTTAATACAGCAATAACAATGGATTTTTGTAAATTTTATTCATAATTAATAATATTTTAAGGTAATTCTTCAATTAATCAATGGAATTTATGTTTATTGTTGTTTTTAAAACAAAAATTTGCAATTTATTTGGCGACCTAAAAATTGCCAGGAAATTGTACAGTGTTGCTGCTTAGAGCGATTAGTTTAGGTTTTAAGCGTTTTTAAGTGCTTATTTAAAAACAAATTTAATTTAATTTAAATTAAAGCTTCATTAAGCGAATAAAAAAGAAAGTTATGATTTATTTTGCAAAAAAATCATTAACATCACTATAGTATTATTAAAAAATCAATATTTTAGATTTTCTCTACAAAATATGTTAAGTTAAAAATGATTTAACAAATTTTACTAAAGAATACCTACTTCTTAATTATAATTTCTTTTCAAATTGCAAATACCTATTTACCCTGTTTCAATTCCATTTCCATTGGAATGAGCGACAAATTGTTAAGGTATTAAATATTATTTAACAAATTTATTTGAGAACGCTTTTCTAATACGGATTCTATTGTAATTTAAAATTTTTAATGTGTTTCAATTCCATTTTCTATGGGAACTTTTGATAAACTATAAAATTATCTAGCCCGTTCCCTTTATTTAATATTAATAATGTTTTTTATACTTATTTTTCTTCTAGCTCTAGAAAATAATTTTGTTCCATTGCCATTTTCATAGGAATGGGCAACAAAATGCTAAAGATTAAAGTTTTATTAAAAAAAATTTTGTTAAGAATACTTTTTTATCATGATTTCTATTGAAATTACAAAATATTTATTGTGTTTCCACTCCATTTTTAATAGGAACGTTTGATAAACTATAGAATTTGTGTTTCATTGCCATTTTCATAGAAATGTGCTATAAATTGTTTCATTATTAAAAAGTATTTAACAAATTTTAGTTAAGAAAACTATTCTGATATGATTTCTATTGAAATTTAAAAATTTTACAATGTTTCAATTCCATTTTCTATAGGATCGTTTAATAAAATTTAAAATTTTATAGAACGTTTCCATAAATTTGTGTTAATAACAAATTTTCGAACTTTATTTTCTAGTAGACGTGACATATTAGTTTGTTTCATTGCCATTTTCATAGGAATGGACGACAAAATATAAAAGTATTAAAAAAAATTAACAAATTTAAGTAACAAATACTTATGTGATATGATTTCTATAAAAGTAGAAAATATTTACTGTTTTTCAATTCCATTTTCTATAGGAATGTTGGGAAGAATATTAAAATTTGTGGCATTTTTTAAGAAATTAGTGTTAACAATTTTCTTTACGATTAGCTAAAGCAGATAATTTTGTTCCAATTCCATTTTTATAGGAATGTCTAAAAAAATTTAATTTAAAATTAAATATTTAAGAAAATTTTAATAGAACCTGTTTCTATTTGGATTTATTACTAAAATTACTTATGTTTCAATTCCATTTTCTATAGGAACGTTTGACCAAAAGCCAGGTTTTGTCAAAATTTTATTAAATCTACAGTTTCAGCTCTAATTTTCTATCAAAACAAAACCAATTATATCCTTAAAATTAGATTTTAATTGAATAGTTTCAGGAATCACACAAGTAACCCCAAAACTTACTTTTGGTAAACAAGATTTCAAATTTTATTGTAATTGTTCACATGCTATAATTTTATTTCAAATTAGGTGCAAATCTAGTTTTTTTTTTTTTTTTGCATGAAAATATTGTATAAATTGTCAAATTTTAGTATATCTCTCAATTTCAATCATTCCCTTTTATATAAATGTAAAATAACTTCATCTCTGAATATTTCCATATCCACCGGCTGCTTAGGTTTCAATTCCTTCCAGCACAAATTATAGGCGGGTGGTGGTTCATCCTCTGGACTATAGTCTGCTTCATTTTCTGTTACATGAGTTAGAGTAGATAATTTACGTTCCAATTTTAGTTTCCAACTATCCAAATGATAAGCAAAAAATTTTCCGGTAGCAAAATATATAATTTCGATATAACTGATAATACTAAAGCCATACATAAGAGACATAATGCCGCCAAAACGATCTGTAAAAGTTTAAAGTTACATATAACATAAATAGTTTAAAACGAGAGTCTCTAATTACTTAATAAAACCACCCAATCGCCCACAATATCCATTTCTGTAGACAAAACATAAAGTTGCTTGAAATATAGCTTAACTATAGCCAAAGGTTTTGCATTAGTAAGACCTTTTCTGAAATTCAAAAAGACAAAAAAGCATAACGAACTTATCAAAAGTATAAACTAAAATCCTATAACAAATCTCATTATTAAGTCTCTCCAGGCTTTCTCTCCAGACTTTCTTTTAATTAATCGATTAGGTAAACTTACAATATCCCATGACTATAAGCTTGTCCATATGTTGGTCTCATAGTCATATCATTAACTTCCAGATTAAAATCAACACCATTACAATTCGGTAAACATTGTGGACATCTGTGTCCAGTGGTAAAATCATCCTGTATATCTTTACCATTTTCATGAACATATTCAAAAGTATTCCAACCATACCAAATGGCACGCCAATTTATTAAACAGGGTAAATCTAAAAAATTACAATATGTAATTGTTTTATTAGTGGCCGCCATAGGTGGTGTAACACAGCCACAATATTTCAGCATAGAATCCATGCGACATATAAGCAGACATTCATCGATAGAGTAATAGGATCTAAAATTTAATATGAACATTTTTAAATGAAAATTTTTTATTATTTTGATTTCTATAATTACTGATTTAGTAACTTTTGTCCCTCATCTGGAAAGTAGCAGTTACGTACTTCGGGCGCAAACTGTCTTACACTTTGGGTGGAACCGAAGAATTCCGGTTCTATGGGTACTTCTACTATGGTATTATAATCAACTAAAATTTCTCCTATACGATTTGATTGTATGGTAGCATAATCTTCCCGGGGGAAAATGTAAAGCTGTTGAATATGTTTTAAAATATTTGTTTAAAAATCGTGTTTTAGCAGAAAAAAAGTGTTTCAGTGAAATCAAAATTTTGTGAAAATTTAGTGTTTGTGACCAAAAATTGCAAATAGTGCACACATTTTTACGCCAGTAAATAGAAATAAAAAGAAAAAATATGGACTCAATAGCAAGAAGCAGCATCGTATGCAGTAAATTCATCAACATAAAAGTAATTGAAAATAAAAAGAAGAAAGTAATGCCTACAAGGTCTTATGCAGTAATCCAGTAAAGTAAAAGTAATTTGAAATAAAAAGAAAACAAAAAACAATTTTCCAAATTCTTACCTGAAATGCTGTATTATGAAATTCTGTTATGGTAAAATCTTCCGGTGAACTACGCAAAACAAATTGTATAGAATTCAATATAGAATTGGATTGAAATTTGATTTTCTCCGCATTCTCAGCAAACCGATTATCAGCCTCACGGGTTTTCCTTCAAACACAAGTGAACATTTAATAGAACATTTAAAACTCTACTTACTACAACTTACTCATCTATGGAATAACCTCTTCTATTATAATTAAACATACAGCATACACTCGATGACGTTAAACGTTTATTGAAATAATCTCTAGTGTTAATTTCTTCACCGTATATAGTGCCACGTATAACTAAATTTCTACAATCTGGTGCTAATATCTTCAAATAATCACGTATCGGATAATCGGTAGTATTAAACATAAAAGTGAAAATTTTATCCAAACGATGGAGTATGGTTAAATTGAGCGATAAATTGTCATGCGGAAAGATATAGAAACCTTTGAGATTGAGTAAATGTTGAGCCATTTCGGGAATTGTTTGAGCCAAATAGTAGGGTTTATAGCGTTGTTGCTGTTCAAAGCTGTTAAGTGGAAGAGAGAAAGAGAGAGAAAAGGAAACATACATATGTGAAGGTCATGCTCAATATAATTCGCTTATTATTAATTATAATTTTAATATATTTTATATTATTAATTTTTAGTGATTAAGTTAATCTAGTATTTAAGTTATCTTTGAAGGTGTTGTTAACTTAATTAACTGAAAGAACTGATAATATATGTATAATGAATAGAGCTCTATACAGCTGTCGTACTAACGGTCCCAATATAGCTGACGAAAAGGAGTAAAATGTTTTCTGAAATCTCATTCAATGTCCTGCTCTATATGAGGAAGTGTGGTTCTTCATTTAGCTCATCAATATAATTGAGTGTGGAGCTCTTGTGATCCGAAGTAAGATCGCAGGTGCTGGAGCTTCACTCAGCCTTTCATTATAATTTTTAAGGAATATTGAATGTCAGTTGTATGTCGGATATCAATCTGAGGATTATTTTAGCTCCATTTCGCGAATTATCACCGATCTAAATAATTGCAGAGAACTTGTCACTACATAATTGCATCGATTTTACCAGATTAATCTTGCTCGCCGATATATTACGTAAATTATTAGATGTTACTGAATGGAATTTTCCTCTTGTATAGGCTTTTTAGTCTATATCCGATATATTAATCATTTAAACACAAACCTTTTGAGGCTTAATAATTCTTTTTATCATTTCAATTTCATGCCTGCATAACATTTCTTGAACATGAACTTCTTGAAATTATTCCCTTTGCAATAATCCAATTAATATGCAGACCACATACAAATGCAAATAAAATAACTATCAATTTGAACTGGATTATTTGTGGGGCTCGTATTGTATTCTCACAACAAATACTCTTTATATAAGGTCTTATCAGTTCTAACTCATTTTTCCATACACGAGCACACTTAAACAGCTAATTGTATGTGTTGAAATATGGTTATAATCGTATACATATCTCTTCCTAAGAAATGCCCATAGTTTATTATTGTTTCAATTTCATTCAAAATGTTTTGGATTCGTTATCTTTTACCCAAGGAAATCCTATAAAAACTATGCGTACATTTGCAACATAGACTATTTGTCGAAAGTACGCGTAACATGAAGTATTTAACCATCGCTTTGGTGGTGGCCATTTTTGGTTTGGCCACTGTAACGGCTGCTAACCAAAAAGTACGTTACGATAACTATCATGTCTATCAATTGCAACCTGAAACTAAACAACAATTGGAGGTTCTTAAGAAATTGGAAGGAGCCGCAAGTTCTTACATTTTCTTGGATGGTGTACACTATTTGAACTCAAAGATTCATGTTGTTGTAGCTCCTCAAAGTGTGCCAGAATTCGTTGGAACTTTGATTAAGAACTCGGTACCCTATACACTTGTGGATACTAATGCTCAAGCTTCTTTGGAAGATGATATTGTAGCTGATCCCAAGAGACGTACTGGTGACTATACCTGGGAGGAATATCATGAATTGGAAGATACCTACAGTTGGTTGCACTCTTTGGAAGCTAAATACCCTAATGTGGTTTCAGTGTTTGTAGCTGGTAAAACTTATGAAGGACGTGATATTTTGGGTGTTAAGATTTCTTATGGTCCTGGCAAGAAAGGTATCTTCTTGGAAGGTGGTATGCATGCTCGTGAATGGATTGGCCCCGCCACTACTACCTATATACTCAATCAATTGTTGACCAGTGAAAATAAGGAAGTACGCATGATTGCTGAAAGTTTCGATTGGTATGTTGTCCCTCATGCTAATCCTGATGGTTATGTCTTCACCCACACCACCAATCGTTTATGGCGTAAGACTCGTACTCCTTATGGCGAGTGCTTTGGTGCTGATCCCAACCGTAACTGGGACTTCCATTGGAATGAAGTTGGCGCTTCGGACAATCCCTGCACTGATACCTATGCTGGTCCTTCTGCTTTCTCCGAAATTGAAACCAAATCATTGGCTGACTTCATTGCTACTGAATTGAAGGGTAAAATCTTCTTGTTTGTTTCCTTCCATTCCTATTCGCAATTGTTGTTGTTCCCCTATGGTCATACCGGAGAATTGCCACCCAACTATAGTGATTTGAAACGTGTATTTGATGTTGCCATTGATGCTGTCTCTCAACGTTATGGTACCAAATATACTGGTGGTAATATTTATGATGCCATCTATCCTGCTGCTGGTGCCAGTCTTGATTGGGCTTATGGTACTCAAGATGTTAAATACGCCTACTGCTATGAATTGCGTCCTTCTTCGACTGCTTTCTGGACTGGTTTCAAATTACCTGCTTCACAAATTATACCCACCGGTGAAGAAACTATGGATTCTTTAATGGCCATGATCAAGGAAGCTGGTATTACAAAATTCATGTAAATTATTGATTTTAAATAAAAACGAATATTTTTTTATACGAAATTTAAAAACCAAATTAATGTGTGTTTTTTAAAATAGTGTTAAAAATATGGTCCTACGAGCCCCATTTCAAAAGTTAGCAAAGTTTTGTAGCTTTTCTTTGACAACACCTTCATTTTGTTCGTCTAATAACTTTTCCTCTTCCGTCATTGTTGTTGCCATTTCTAATTTTAACTTTAAATTGTATAAAAGGGTTGTAAATCATTGCAAAAATTTAGCTTCTTATCAATATTTTTTATTACTTTTAAAAATTTCGCTTTCTTTTGGAAAATCATGGTTTTGTTATCATGATTAGTTTAGAAAAATTTATGATCATATTAATCCACACGATATTTAGTTTATACTGGTCAGTTAAAAACTTATGTTTCGTACGTTTGGACTTACAATCTTATCACTTTACTTTTGTTTAATTAAAATGATTTATAACTAAAGTTAATTGATAAAATTTATGATTAAAGATTTTATATACTGATCAAATAATTCCCATAGTAAAATGTTTAAAAAGTGTGTCTTGAATCTTTAAGTGTTTTTTTTTCAAAGAAAACAGAAGTTTTAGAGATAAGTTCAAGAAATAATATTTAATTTGGGATTTCCCAAAACCGATAAGAAAAATATATGAAATAAATATTTAACCATTAAAATTGTCTAACTGTGAGAATAAACTTTAAAAAATTAAATTTAATTTTCACAAACATTACCTCCCTAATGACAAATAATGATTTAATACTCCTATCACGTGATTAAGAACAAATCTTTAAGAAAATATTGCATGAATTTTTTCTCTAGTTAATTAATATACAAAAATTTTGATTAATTTAATATCTAATAGGGTTAAAAGGTCATATAATATATTCAAATAATTGCAATTATTCAATACTACTGCTAGTATGTAACTATTTTTAATGCAAAATATTTTTTTAAAATTATGCAATAAATCTAGTAAATGTAATTACTCTTATGAAATTAAATTCATGCAAGTATTATGAAAATTGTTGTTTATTTTGAAAGTGTTTTACAAACTAAAATTATAATTTATTGGTGTTAATTGTTGGCTATCTTGAACTGAACGTAGGGAATTTTTTAAAAATTACTATTAAACTTTAATATTTTCATTCTGTAGAGTATTTCTATGTCAACAATTACATGTTTAACTACCTTAAGCGATAAATATTTTAATCTTATCAATTTGCCTTAATCGTTTTCCAATAAAAGGGGAAATTGGGGAAAATATTTAAAATAAATTAAACAGAGACGTGGAATATATTTTGCTAAAAAAAGGAAATAAACAGAGCTAGAACAAAACCAGAACAGAACTTGAACAAAAATGGAAATGAACTAGAACAAAACAATAACAGAACTAGAACAGAAATAGAACAGAATAAGAACAGAACTAAAACAGAAATAGAACTGAACTAGAACTGAACTAGAACTGAACTAGAACTGAACTAGAACTGAACTAGAACTGAACTAGAACTGAACTAGAACTAGAACTTAACTAGGACTGAACTAGAACTGAACTAGAACTGAACTAGAACTGAACTAGAACTGAACTAGAACTGAACTAGAACTAGAACTTAACTAGGACTGAACTAGAACTAAACTAGAACAGAACTAGAACAGAACTAGAACTAGAACTAGAACTGAACTAGAACTGAACTAGAACTGAACTAGAACTGAACTAGAACTGAACTAGAACTGAACTAGAACTGAACTAGAACTGAACTAGAACTGAACTAGAACTGAACTAGAACTGAACTAGAACTGAACTAGAACTGAACTAGAACTGAACTAGAACTGAACTAGAACTGAACTAGAACTGAACTAGAACTGAACTAGAACTGAACTAGAACTGAACTAGAACTGAACTAGAACTGAACTAGAACTGAACTAGAACTGAACTAGAACTGAACTAGAACTGAACTAGAACTGAACTAGAACTGAACTAGAACTGAACTAGAACTGAACTAGAACTGAACTAGAACTGAACTAGAACTGAACTAGAACTGAACTAGAACTGAACTAGAACTGAACTAGAACTGAACTAGAACTGAACTAGAACTGAACTAGAACTGAACTAGAACTGAACTAGAACTGAACTAGAACTGAACTAGAACTGAACTAGAACTGAACTAGAACTGAACTAGAACTGAACTAGAACTGAACTAGAACTGAACTAGAACTGAACTAGAACTGAACTAGAACTGAACTAGAACTGAACTAGAACTGAACTAGAACTGAACTAGAACTGAACTAGAACTGAACTAGAACTGAACTAGAACTGAACTAGAACTGAACTAGAACTGAACTAGAACTGAACTAGAACTGAACTAGAACTGAACTAGAACTGAACTAGAACTGAACAAGAACTGAACTAGAACAGAACTAGAACTGAACAAGAACTGAACTAGAACTGAACAGAACTGAACTAGAACTGAACTAGAACTGAACTAGAACTGAACTAAGAACTGAACTAGAACTGAACTAGAACTGAACTAGAACTGAACTAGAACTGAACTAGAACTGAACTAGAACTGAACTAGAACTGAACTAGAACTGAACTAGAACTGAACTAGAACTGAACTAGAACTGAACTAGAACTGAACTAGAACTGAACTAGAACTGAACTAGAACTGAACTAGAACTGAACTAGAACTGAACTAGAACTGAACTAGAACTGAACTAGAACTGAACTAGAACTGAACTAGAACTGAACTAGAACTGAACTAGAACTGAACTAGAACTGAACTGAACTACTGAACTAGAACTGAACTAGAACTGAACTAGAACTGAACTAGAACTGAACTAGAACTGAACTAGAACTGAACTAGAACTGAACTAGAACTGAACTAGAACCGAACTAGAACTGAACAACAACTGAATTAGAACTGAACTGGAACTGAACTAGCTAGAACTACAACTGTACTACAACTGTACTAGAACAGAACTAGAACTGAACTAGAACTGAACTAGAACTGAACTAGAACTGAACTAGAACTGAACTAGAACTGAACTAGAACTGAACTAGAACTGAACTAGAACTGAACTAGAACTGAACTAGAACTGAACTAGAACTGAAGAACTGAACTAGAACTGAACTAGAACTGAACGAACTGAACTAGAACTGAACTAGAACTGAACTAAACGACTAGAACTGAACTAGAACTGAACTAGAACTGAACTAGAACTGAACTAGAACTGAACTAAACCTGAACTGACTAAACTGAACTAGAACTGAACTAGAACTTAACTAGAACTGAACTAGAACTGAACTAGAACTGAACTAGAACTGAACTAGAAACTGAACTAGAACTGAACTAGAACTGAACTAGAACTGAACTAGAACTGAACTAGAACTGACTAGAACTGAACTAGACTGAACTAGAACTGAACTAGAACTGAACTACAACTGAACTAGAACTGAACTAGAACTGACTAGAACTGAACTAGAATACTGACTAGAACTGAACTAGAACTGAACTAGAAGTGAACCTAGAACTGAACAAGAACTGAACAAGACTGAACAAGAACTGAAACAAGAACTGAACAGAACTGAACCAGAACTGAACAGAACAAGAACTGAACAAGAACTGAACTAGAACTGAACAAGAACTGAACAGGAACTGAATTAGAACTGAACTAGAACTGAACTAGAACTGAACTAGAACTGAACGAGAACTGAACAAGAACTGAATTAGAACTGAACTAGAACTGAACAAGAACTGAACAAGAACTGAACAAGAACTGAACAAGAACTGAACAAGAACTGAACAAGAACTGAGCAAGAACTGAACAAGAACTGAACTAGAACTGAACTAGAACTGAACTAGAACTGAACTAGAACTGAACTAGAACTGAACTAGAACTGAACTAGAACTGAACTAGAACTGAACTAGAACTGAACTAGAACTGAACTAGAACTGAACTAGAACTGAACTAGAACTGAACTAGAACTGAACTAGAACTGAACTAGAACTGAACTAGAACTAAGCTAGAACTGAACTAGAACTGAATAAGAACTGTACTAGAACTGAACTAGAACTGAACTGAACTAGAACTGAACTGAACTAGTACAGAACTAAAACATAAATTGAACAGTAGAACATAATAGAACAGTAGAAATTTGTAACCACCTAATTAATGCCTTATGGTAATAAAACAAAAATAAAAACAGAGCTAGAACTGAACTACAACAGAAATAGAAGAAAATTTCGTTAGTTGCATTTCGTATTTGTTAATCTATTCCTTTGCTAGTAAAGTAATTACGAACCAATTAATTATATTTTTGAACATAAATTTGTAACTTTATAAATTAACATTTGAACGTCACAAAAATCATGAAGTAAAAATTATGAAAATATTAAACCAGACACAAGCACTTATAAACATACAAACAAATGTACGTACGTATAAAATAAGATTTATTTTTATAATGTATTAAATTTATGATTTGTGTTATAAAAGGATTTATTTTGATTGAAAAGAAACGACGTGTAAGACGAACGATAAGAAACCAAAATATTGCAATTCTTAAAGATAGCCAACGCTAGTCAATGTAGAGGAAATTCAAAACAAGAAATAATATTTGAAAATTTACAACCTTTATTTATACAACTTCGATATTTGTATAATAGACAAATTTTAAACAAAACACTTGTTATCTTGTTGTTGTTGTTGCCGTAATTATCAATTTAACCCAGTCAAAGCTCTATGGGTTGCAGTTTTATTTGAATTTGTTAAGAAATGCCAACAGTTTGCTATAAAAGTTTTGTTCTGGGCCCTAGAACAACATTCGCTTTGGCGATTACAACTAAGCAACAACAATGGCATTTTTTAAATTTAACCTAATTTTGGGCTTGTGTCTTTTGGCCGTTGCCTGTCAGGCTGAACGTGCTCGTTATGACAATTATCGTGTGTATAGAACTACCGCTTCGAGTGAGGCTGAATTGGAAGTTTTGAAAAATTTGGAAGGTGCTTCGGATTCTATAATGTTCTTGGATGGCATACACAGTATTAATAAACCCATTAATGTGGTGGTAGCTCCTCATAAGGTACCTGATTTCTTGGAAATTATGGGTACCAGTGAGGTGGAATATGAATTGATTGAGAGCAATTTGCAAAGTCAATTGGAAGATGATGAAGAACAAGTGGCTAAATCTAATCCTCTATCTCGTTCGGTTTCGTACAACTGGAATCAATACTATGAATTGGAAGATACCTACAAATGGTTGCAACAATTGGCTGTTGAATATCCCGGTGTTGTGACTTTAATTGAAGGCGGCAAGACCTATCAGGGACGTTCGATTTTGGGTGTTAAAATCTCCAAGAGTAAATCGGAAAAGCCTGGCATCTTTATTGAGGCCGGTATACATGCTCGTGAATGGATTGCTCCCGCCACTGCCACCTATTTGATCAATCAATTGTTGAACTCTAATGTGGCCAGCATTAGCCAAGTGGCTGACAACTATAACTGGTATATTTTCCCTCATGCCAATCCTGATGGTTATGTTTACACCCACACCAAAGATCGTATGTGGCGTAAGACTCGTACTCCTTATGGCAGCTGTTTTGGAGCTGATCCCAATCGTAACTGGGGCTTCCAATGGAATGTTGTGGGTTCTAGCAACAATCCCTGCTCTGATACCTATGCTGGTCCATCTGCTTTCTCGGAAATTGAAACTCGCTCCTTGGCCGATTACCTTAAAACTTTGGAGGGTAAAATCTCTCTCTACATTTCCTTCCATGCCTACTCTCAGTATTTACTCTTCCCTTACGGTCACACCGCTGAATTGCCACCCAACTATAAGGATTTGAAACAAGTTTTCGATGTTAGTATTGCCGCCATCAATAAACGTTATGGCACCAAATACACTGGTGGCAACATTTATGATGCTATCTATCCCGCTTCGGGCGCCTCTGTGGATTGGGCTTATGAAAATGTTGGCACCAGAATGGCCTACTGCTATGAATTGCGACCTTCCTCCAACTCTTTCTTGGTTGGTTTTAAACTACCAGCTTCGCAAATTGTTTCCACTGGTGAGGAAACTGTTGACTCTATTGTTGCCATGGTTAACGAAGTCCAAAAATTGGGTTACTTCAAATAAATTATGTCTTATACATTCCATGTAAATTGTATAAATAAAACGTTATTAGAGAATTATTAAACGAATTATTATACCACTGTTTTTCTTACTTTTACACCACTTGAACATTTGTTTGGAAAGCCTTAAAGCAAAGTGTGACCCATATATTGGTTTTATCTTATTATTTTCTTACTAATTAAAATTGTATTGTCTGAAGCTCTTAAAGATTATACAAAAATGTAAATAGGTTTTGTTTGTGAGTTACAAATTAACTGCTGGATGACTATTGACTATTTGTAATAAGGTGAAAATCGTATTAGTAATCAGAACTACTTAGATCCGAACTAATACTGAACTGGAACTGAACTAGAAGTGAACCAGCAGTGAACTAGAACTGAACTAGAACTGAACTAGAACTGAACTAAAACTGAACTAGAACTGAATTAGAACTGAGCTAGAATTAAACTAGAACTGAACTAGAACTGAACTAGAACTGAACTAGATCTGAACTAGAACTGAACTAGAACTGAACTAGAACTGAACTAGAACTGAACTGAACTAGAACTGAACTAGAACTGAACTAGAACTGAACTAGAACTGAACTAGAACTGAACTAGAACTGAACTAGAACTGAACTAGAACTGAACTAGAACTGAACTAGAACTGAACTAGAACTGAACTAGAACTGAACTAGAACTAGAACTGAACTAGAACTGAACTAGAACTGAACTAGAACTGAACTAGAACTGAACTAGAACTGAACTAGAACTGAACTAGAACTGAACTAGAACTGAAGTAGAACTGAAGTAGAACTGTACTAGAACTGAACTAGAACTGAACTAGAACTGAACTAGAACTGAAATATATGTACGTTTTTATTTCGATCCTTGAATACTTACACCTTTTCCGCGAACCTTAATACTTTTTCACGACTCAACTTATTAGCACTACAAACGGCCACACCTGGAAAAGGAGTGTTCGAAACATGAACCATATTAGTGGACATATGCACCTCTGTTGGCTGTTGAATATATTGTACAATCAGCGTTATTATTATAAAATGAGTCCAAATTATTACAGCAAATATAAAAACTGTCCAAATAAATCTGAAAATTTTATTAAAATATGGATCATGTTTTGAAATTTTGAACCTTCTTCTTTATAAGCCCATTTACCTGGCATATTTGAACCGTGTATAGTACAGCAACAAACGCAGGCCATGTATGGCACTCTCGTTTAGAAAATCTTTTAAATGTTTGTTTTTCAATAAAAAGCCAAACATGTCCTTTTAACAACTGTTAAGATGTCAATTAGTGTTATGACTTTTATAGGAAAACGTTAGAGAGTATTGTAGGATATAAATCATTTCAATGTTTAAAAGGACTTAATTTGTACTGGCAGGTGGTAATTTTGTTTGATATTTAAATAACAGGTGTCAATATAATTGATTATGTTGGGAGAGGAATGAATGACAACATAAGATTTAGAAGGCAAACTTAAATGGAACTGCACTGAAATAGAAGTGAACTAGAACAGAACTAGAACTGAACTCGAACAGAACTAGAACAGAACTAAAACTGAACTAGGACTGAACTAGAAGTGAACTAGAAGTGAACTAGAACTGAACTAGAACTGAACTAGAACTGAACTAGAACTGAACTAGAACTGAACTAGAACTGAACTAGAACTGAACTAGAACTGAACTAGAACTGAACTAGAACTGAACTAGAACTGAACTAGAACTGAACTAGAACTGAACTAGAACTGAACTAGAACTGAGCTAGAACTGAACTAGAACTGAACTAGAACTGAACTAGAACTGAACTAGAACTGAACTAGAACTGAACTAGAACTGAACTAGAACTGAACTAGAACTGAACTAGAACTGAACTAGAACTGAACTAGAACTGAACTAGAACTGAACTAGAACTGAACTAGAACTGAACTAGAACTGAACTAGAACTGAACTAGAACTGAACTAGAACTGAACTAGAACTGAACTAGAACTGAACTAGAACTGAACTAGAACTGAATTAGAACTGAACTACAACTGAACTACAACTGAACTAGAACTGAATTAGAACTGAACTAGAACTGAACTAGAATTGAACTAGAACTGAACTAGAACTGAACTAGAACTGAACTAGAACTGAACTAGAACTGAACTAGAACTGAACTAGAACTGAACTAGAGCTGAACTAGAACTGAACTAGAACTGAACTAGAACTGAACTAGAACTGAACTAGAACTGAACTAGAATTGAACTAGAACTGAACTAGAACTGACCTATAACTGAATAAGAACTGAAATAGCAGCAACATGTTGCCAGATTTCTTAACAATGTTTCTAAACATTTTGAATTAATAACATTCAGTCTCATAACATAATTTCTTAGTTTATTATTAACGATTATTAAAATAATTAAAAATAGGTCTAAATGTAAGAAAATATATAAATTCAAAAGCAGTAACAATACTGAAACCCATGATCAAACCCAACAGGCCGCCAAAAGAAGCTATAAGAGTAAAAAGTTCTATAAGATTAAAAGGTTTTCTCTTCAGTAGCAAAATATTTAAGAAAACGTTACTTACCCAAGGCTGACAACCAATTTTGGTAGATTTCCTTGCGGTACCTAGTAGACATAAGATCACTGTAAAATACATGCAGCAGAATATTGTTATAATCATTGGGTATCTTCCTGTAAAATAGAATTTAGTACGACGAATTCTTGACTTGATAAATAAACAACTTACAGATCATTTTCCTGTTGAAAAGCTAATTTAACATTAAGTTTACCCATGGTTATTTCCGAAACATAGTGATTGGACTCACAATCCGGCAAACAATCACAGGGAAACTTATCTGTGCTCAAAATGGTGGAAAATGTTTTATTATACTCATTTAAGGCTCGAGTAAAAATTTCTGTAATATTAACGGCTTAAATAAAAAGGTTTTAACACAATATTATTCCTTGTACCTCTACTATCTAAGACACATTTCAGTTCCTTAATGCCACACTTGGGAAATGAACCATTATTGGGTAAATTTTCCGGTACACAACCACATTTTTCTACTGCTTTGCGTATGCGACACTCCGACATGCAGTTGATAAAGGAATATCTTTGCATTACCACCAGTTTACGTTCATTGGAAAATAAACAATTTCTTAATTTCAAATCCATACTCTTGACATCACTCGTGGCATAAGTGGACTCGGGACTAATGCGCACAAAACTTTCTCTTGTGGAGGTGATGACTTTAGTTTCGGCATTTTCATCGGGAAAATCATAGGCATCGTGTATCATAAAACGAAAGCCATAGCTGCTAAAATAGGTGCCAAAATAATCGTAAGCTAAGGGATTAAGGAGTATTGATAGACCGGTAGGATAACCACAACCCGTAACGCGATAAGGCCTTTTCGGAATTTGATAGGCAATTTTTCTGGAAAAGGAATGGAGAAGAAATAGAATAAAAAATTCTTCATGAAATCGAACTGAAGCACAACTGAAACCAGAACTGAACTATAACTAAAGTAGAATAGAACTTGAACTAGAACTGAAATAGAACTGGATTAGAACTGAACTAGAACTGAACTAGAACTGAATTAGAACTGAACTAGAACTGAACTAGAACTGAACCAGAACTGAACTAGAACTGAACTAGAACTGAACTAGAACTGAACTAGAACTGAACTAGAACTGAACTAGAACTGAACTAGAACTGAACTAGAACTGAACTAGAACTGAACTAGAACTGAACTGAACTGAACTAGAACTGAACTGAACTGAAATAGAACTGAACTAGAACTGAACTAGAACTGAACTAGAACTGAATTGGAACTGAACTAGAACTGAACTAGAACTGAACTGAACTGAACTAGAACTAGAACTGAACTAGAACTGAACTAGAACTGAACTAGAACTGAACTAGAACTGAACTAGAACTGAACTAGAACTGAACTAGAACTGAACTAGAACTGAACTAGAACTGAACTAGAACTGAACTAGAACTGAACTAGAACTGAACTGAACTAGAACTGAACTAGAACTGATCTAGAACTGAACTAGAACTGAACTAGAACTGGACTAGAACTGAACTAGAACTGAACTAGAACTGAACTAGAACTGAATTAGAACTGAATTAGAACTGAACTAGAACTGAACTAGAACTGAACTAGAACTAAACTAGAACTGAACTAGAACTGAACTAGAACTGAACTAGAACTGAACTAGAACTGAACTAGAACTGAACTAGAACTGAACTAGAACTGAACTAGAACTGAACTAGAACTGAACTAGAACTGAACTAGAACTGAACTAGAACTGAACTAGAACTGAACTAGAACTGAACTAGAACTGAACTAGAACTGAACTAGAACTGAACTAGAAGTGAACTAGAACTGAGCTAGAACTGGACTAGAACTGAACTAGAACTGAACTAGAACTGAATTAGAACTAAACTAAACTGAAATATATGTACGTTTTTATTGCGATCCTTGAATACTTACACCCTTACCGCGAACCTTAATACTTTTTCACGACTCAACTTATTAGCACTACAAACGGCCACACCTGGAAAAGGAGTATTCGAAACATGAACCATATTAGTGGACATATGCACCTCTGTTGGCTGTTGAATATATTGTACAATCAGCGTTATTATTATAAAATGAGTCCAAACTATTACAGCAAATATAAAAACTGTCCAAATAAATCTGAAAATTTTATTAAAATATGGATCATGTTTTGAAATTTTGAACCTTCTTCTTTATAAGCCAATTTACCTGGCATATTTGAACCGTGTATAGTTCAGCAACAAACGTAGGCCATGTATGGCACTCTCGTTTAGAAAATCTTTTAAATGTTTGTTTTTCAATAAAGAGCCAAACATGTCCTTTTAACAACTGTTAAGATGTCAATTAGTGTTATGACTTTTATAGGAAAACGTTAGAGAGTATTGTAGGATATAAATCATTTCAATGTTTGAAAGGACTTAATTTGTACTGGCAGGTGGTAATTTTGTTTGATATTTAAATAACAGGTGTCAATATAATTGATTATGTTGGGAGAGGAATGAATGACAACATAAGATTTAGAAGGCAAACTTAAATGGAACTGCACTGAAATAGAAGTGAACTAGAACTGAACTAGAACAGAACTGAACTAGAACTGAACTAGAACTGAACTAGAACAGAACTAAAACTGAAGTAGGACTGAACTAGAAGTGAACTAGAAGTGAACTAGAACTGAACTAGAACTGAACTAGAACTGAACTAGAACTGAACTAGAACTGAACTAGAACTGAACTAGAACTGAAATAGAACTGAACTAGAACTGAACTAGAACTGAACTAGAACTGAACTAGAACTGAACTAGAACTGAACTAGAACTGAACTAGAACTAAACTAGAACTGAACTAGAACTGAACTAGAACTGAACTAGAACTGAACTAGAAATGAACTAGAACAGAACTAAACTAGAACTGAACTAGAACTGAACTAGAACTGAGCTAGAACTGAACTAGAACTGAACTAGAACTGAACTAGAACTGAACTAGAATTGAACTAGAGCTGAACTAGAACTGAACTAGAACTGAACTAGAACTGAACTAGAACTGAACTAGAACTGAACTAGAACTGAACTAGAACTGAACTAGAACTGAACTAGAACTGAACTAGAACTGAACTAGAACAGAACTAGAACTGAACTAGAACTGAACTAGAACTGAACTAGAACTGAACTAGAACTGAACTAGAACTGAACTAGAACAGAACTAGAGCTGAACTAGAACTGAACTAGAACTGAACTAGAACTGAACTAGAACTGAACTAAAACTGAACTAGAACTGAACTAGAACTGAACTAGAACTGAACTAGAACTGAACTAGAACTGAACTAGAACTGAACTAGAACTGAACTAGAACTGAACTAGAACTGAACTAGAACTGAATTAGAACTGAACTAGAACTGAAGTAGAACTGACCTACAACTGAATAAGAACTGAACTAGCAGCAACATGTTGCCAGAAATCCTACCTTAATAAACAATGTTTCTAAACATTTTGAATTAATAACATTCAATCTCATAACATAATTTCTTAGTTTATTATTAACGATTATTAAAATAATTAAAAATAGGTCTAAATGTAAGAAAATATATAAATTCAAAAGCAGTAACAATGCTGAAACCCATGATCAAACCCAACAGACCGCCAAAAGAAGCTATAAGGGCAAAAAGTTCTATAAGATTAAAAGATTTTCTCTTCAGTAGCAAAATATTTAAGAAAACATTACTTACCCAAGGCTGACAACCAATTTTGGTAGATTTCCTTGCGGTACCTAGTAGACATAAGATCACTGTAAAACACATGCAGCAGAATATTGTTATAATCATTGGGTATCTTCCTGTAAAATAGAATTTAGTACAACGAATTCTTGACTTGATAAATAAACAACTTACAGATCATTTTCCTGTTGAAAAGCTAATTTAACATTAAGTTTACCCATGGTTATTTCCGAAACATAATGATTAGACTCACAATCCGGCAAACAGTCACAGGGAAACTTTTCCGTGCTCAAAATGGTGGAAAATGTTTTATTATACTCATTTAAGGCTCGAGTAAAAATTTCTGTAATATTAACGGCTAAAATAAAAAAGTGTTAGCACAATATTATTTCTTGTACCTCTACTATCTAAGACACATTTCAATTCCTTTATGCCACACTTGGGAAATGAACCATTATTGGGTAAATTTTCCGGTACACAACCACATTTTTCTACTGCTTTGCGTATGCGACACTCCGACATGCAGTTGATAAAGGAATATCTTTGCATTACCACCAGTTTACGTTCATTGGAAAATAAACAATTTCTTAATTTCAAGTCCATACTCTTGACATCACTCGTGGCATAAGTGGACTCGGGACTAATGCGCACAAAACTTTCTCTTGTGGAGGTGATGACTTTAGTTTCGGCATTTTCATCGGGAAAATCATAGGCATCGTGTATCATAAAACGAAAGCCATAACTGATGAAATATGTGCCAAAATATCGTAGGCTAAGGGATTAAGGAGTATTGATAGACCGTAGGATAACCACAACCGTAACGCGATAAGGTCTTTTCGGAATTTTGATAGGCAATTTTTCTGGAAAAGGAATGGAGAAGAATAGAATAAAAAATTCTTCATGAATCGTAGCCCAGGATAAACAACCCGTAACTGAACTGATAAGATAGAACTGACTAAACTTTTCGAACTTTTGATAGGCAACTGGAAAGGAACTGGAGAAAATAGATACTGAAAAATTCTGAACACTGAAACTAGAACGAACTGAAGACTGAACTAGACGAACAGAACTGAACTAGACTGAACTAGAACTGAACTAGAACTGAACTAGAACTGAACTAGACTGAACTAGAACTGAACTAGAAACTGAACAGAACACTAACGAACTAGGAACAAACTGAACTAACGAACTGAACTGAACTAGAACTGAACTAGAACTGAACTAGAACTGAACTAGAACTGAACTAGAACTGAACTAGAATGAACTAGAATGGACTAGAACTGAACTAGAACTGAACTAGAACTAGAACTGAACTAGAACTAGAACTGAACTAGAACTGAACTAGAACTGAACTAGAACTGAACTAGAACTGAACTAGAACTGAACTAGAACTGAACTAGAACTGAACTAGAACTGAACTAGAACTGAACTAGAACTGAACTAGAACTGAACTAGAACTGAACTAGAACTGAACTAGAACTGAACTAGAACGGAACTAGAACTGTACTAGAATTGAACTAGAACTGAACTAGAACTGTACTAGAACTGAACTAGAACTGAACTAGAACTGAACTAGAACTGAACTAGAACTGTACTAGAACTGAACTAGAACTGAACTATAACTGAACTAGAACTGAACTAGAACTGAACTAGAACTGAACTAGAACTGAACTAGAACTGAACTAGAACTGAACTAGAACTGAACTAGAACTGAACTAGAACTGAACTAAAACTGAACTAGAACTGAACTAGAACTGAACTAGAACTGAACTAGAACTGAACTAGAACTGAACTAGAACTGAACTAGAACTGAACTAGAACTGAACTAGAACTGAACTAGAACTGAACTAGAACTGAAATGAACTAGAACTGAACTAGAACAGAACTTGAACTATAGTAGAACTGTTTACACCTATATAGTCCAATTTAAATCACTTACTCTGGAAAGTTATTCTTTTCCTGACCGAAATAATTGAAAGAACAGCAGGCACCCTCAATAGTGGGTATACGCTGAAACAAACTATCACAACGCGAATTAGTGCCTTTCCAAATGCACTTGGAAATCATATCCAAACAATTGGGCGATAAACGTGCCGATAACTCAGATAAAGTCATGTTATTCAATTCCAAAATCTTTTCAGCTAAAGTAAAATTAACATTAGATTGATTTAAGGCAAAACTATAATACATGGTGACACGAAATGAACGCAACACATCCTCATCGCTGGTATTGGAAGGGCGTTTTCTGTAAAGGAGAGGGAAATATGAGAAATAATCTTTAAAGATATGATGGAAATACTTACAAAACCTTAACCAAACTCAAGGCCCTATCACGTGATATTTTGTTAAAGTTGCAAAATGTTACCGCCGGAAATGGTATATCCCAGGTGGGATGATGAGAACTTTCTATCACCGTAACAGTGGGGGTCTCACGATTCCATAAATAGGATACTATAACCAAAACTATGGATACTATTATAGAAACTATGACAACAAATAACCAAAAATAACGTTCTTTTTTCGTCATATCTGAACGTGTAAGATAATTGAACCCGTGCAACGAGGTGGTATTACAATAATTACGCAAATTTTGCATAAACCAATTTTTTATGGATTTCAAAGTTAAGACACGAGACTTTTTCTTTTGTAGTTTACGTGAAGTCAAAGTAGTGGCTGTAGAGGTAAAGGAGTTTTTGCCAAACTTATGACGATAGTTTGTATAAGGTAAAACATTGCGTACGGTAAAAATAGGTTCTATTTTATTAGACGACATGAAAGCGAGAGCTAAATTTAAACACACTTTGCGCTGAGAAGCTATAAACAGACTAAAATGTTCGAATGAAGGCAACAACAAGTGCTAAGTGATTTTAATTAAGGGTTGCCGGACAATTGACCTCTAATACTTGGTAATTATAGGCTTCATTGATATATTTATTTTGATGGTTTTGTTAATTATGCTTTTATTATTATTGTACATTTTTTTTTTTTCTTAATATTATGATATTTAACCTACATATTCGGGGCAATAAGGACGCATACGTAGAAATGCTTCTATACGTTCCTGCTTAGCCTTTTCCTCTTCTAATTGTTTTCTATGTTCTGCTTCTTTTTGCGCTTTTTGTTGACGCTTTTTAATACGATATCTTATTTGTTTTTTAGTTAACCAATTACAAGCGGGTCGCACAAATACAAAGAAAATTAACTCAAAACCTGAAACAAAACTATAACCCATATAAAGACCCGTTATACCACCAAAGGTGCCTATAAACGATAACCAATTTTCATAGACATCCAGGCGCAAACGTTCCGCATAAAGTTCACCAAAAAATACATGCAGCAATATATGATTGGTAGTATTTATGTCTTTGCTAGCAAGAAAAAAAAGGTAAGTTTAAACGATTTCATATAGTAATCCTAAGAACTTACAAAAACCGTAGATCGGTTAAGGAATATTTTCTCATTAGCCTCCCCGAATCCATTGATATGCTATACATATTAAAGTCACACAAAGGATAACAATCACACATAAACTGATCCCCAATATGATGATTCTTGGATAAATTGATTTCTGCAACCAATAAAGCTGAAATCAAAATAAAAAATAGTTACTAAAACCGAACTAGCAGTTCTAGTTCAGTTGTAGTTCAGTTCTAGTTCAGTTCTAGTTCAGTTCTAGTTCAGTTCTAGTCCAGTTCTAGTCCAGTTCTAGTTCAGTTCTAGTGTAGTTCTAGTTCAGTTCTAGTTCAGTTCTAGTTCAGTTCTAGTTCAGTTCTAGTTCAGTTCTAGTTCAGTTCTAGTTCAGTTCTAGTTCAGTTCTAGTTCAGTTCTAGTTCAGTTCTAGTTCAGTTCTAGTTCAGTTCTAGTTCAGTTCTAGTTCAGTTCTAGTTCAGTTCTAGTTCAGTTCTAGTTCAGTTCTAGTTCAGTTCTAGTTCAGTTCTAGTTCAGTTCTAGTTCAGTTCTAGTTCAGTTCTAGTTCAGTTCTAGTTCAGTTCTAGTTCAGTTCTAGTTCAGTTCTAGTTCAGTTCTAGTTCAGTTCTAGTTCAGTTCTAGTTCAGTTCTAGTTCAGTTCTAGTTCTAGTTCAGTTCTAGTTCAGTTGTAGTTCAGTTGTAGTTCAGTTGTAGTTCAGTTCTAGTTCAGTTGTAGTTCAGTTGTAGTTCAGTTGTAGTTCAGTTGTAGTTCAGTTGTAGTTCAGTTCTAGTTCAGTTCTAGTTCAGTTCTAGTTCAGTTCTAGTTCAGTTCTAGTTCAGTTCTAGTTAAGTTCTAGTTCAGTTCTGGTTCAGTTCTAGTTCAGTTCTAGTTCAGTTCTAGTTCAGTTCTATTTCAGTTGTAGTTCAGTTGTAGTTCAGTTCTAGTTAAGTTCTAGTTCAGTTCTAGTTCAGTTCTAGTTCAGTTCTAGTTCAGTTCTAGTTCAGTTCTAGTTCAGTTCTAGTTCAGTTCTAGTTCAGTTCTAGTTCAGTTCAGTTCTATTTCAGTTGTAGTTCAGTTGTAGTTCAGTTGTAGTTCAGTTGTAGTTCAGTTGTAGTTCAGTTGTAGTTCAGTTGTAGTTCAGTTCTAGTTCAGTTCTAGTTCAGTTCTAGTTCAGTTCTAGTTCAGTTCTAGTTCAGTTCTAGTTCAGTTCTAGTTCAGTTCTAGTTCAGTTCTAGTTAAGTTCTAGTTCAGTTCAAGTTCAGTTCTAGTTCAGTTCAGTAGTTCAGTTCTAGTTCAGTTCTAGTTCAGTTCTAGTTCAGTTCTAGTTCAGTTCTAGTTCTAGTTCAGTTCAGTTCTATTTCAGTTGTAGTTCAGTTCTAGTTCATTTCTAACTCTCGAATAGAGTACTCAACTCAACTCAAAAAGTCCTCTAAATTCTCATACCCACCTTTCAATTTCAAATAACATTTACTCTCCTCCAAGCCACACACTGTCCAATTGTCCTTTCTAGGCCAATTAGCCAAAGAACATTTACACTTTTGATATAACTTTAAAGAACGACATTCGGCCAAACAGTTAACCTGAGAGTAGGAACCAAAATAGTACATTGGCCGCTCCCAAGGTAAATAACATTTTCTCTTATGTAAAGATTCCCTAGCTATGTACGACGTGGCATGAGTTTGCTGAGGTAAAACATGAATTTTATTAAAGGTTGAGGGCTGTATTATACGTTTCAGGGAGGACGTATCGGCAAAATCGTGAGAGTCATGTATCAAAACCAGAAAGCCTGGCGACAAAGTTAAACTAGCCTTATAATTTTCCAAATGAGGATCTAATAGTACCGATAGCCCCGTTTTATAACCACAACTGGTGCTATATTCTAAATAATGATTCTTTACATAATCCGTGCGTTTGTTTGTGGTTTTCTGTAAAGCTTTATAGTTAAAGGAACAGCAGGATCCGTACGCTGTTTGTATTTTTTGAAACAAATGTTTACATCTTATAAAATGGCCCTGCCATTTACATCTTAGTAACTCGTTCTCACAATTGGGTGTTAGTTCGTTTAAGAGTTGTGGTAACGAGTAATTGTTAAGCTTTAGTAGAGCGGTTAGGGTTTTTTGGTCGCCAGTAGTTGCTTTAAGGTTGAAAGCTGTAGCTAGTGCTGAATTGAAGTAATCGTTTAGTTCCGGAATCGACATGTTGCTAGTTTTTTCGCTGGAAGAAATGTAAAAATTTTTTATTAACAAATTTCGAGTTTTTGTAGGAAATAAAAGTGATCACAGATTTCTATTGTTTTTTTTTTAGCCAGAAAATGGACTTTTATGTTTTCACTCAAAAAATCGAATTTTGGTAGGATCTATAAGTGATCACAGATTTTGATTGTTTTGGCCCTAGCTCTTCCAGTTTAGCCAGAAAATGGATTTTTATGTTTACACTCAAAAAATCTAATTTTGGAAGGATTCATAAGCGATCACAGATTTTCATTCTTTTGGTCCTAGCTCTTCTAGTTTAGCCGAAAAATGGGCTTTTATTTGGAAGGATTTATAAGTGATCACAGATTTTGATTGTTTTGGCCCTAGCTCGACTAGTTTAGCCAGAAAATGGACTTTTATGTTTTCACTCAAAAAATCGAATTTTGGAAGGATTTATAAGTGATCACAGATTTTCATTGTTTTGGCTCTAGCTCTTCTAGTTTAGCCAGAAAATGGACTTTTATGTTTTCACTCAAAAATCGAATTTTGGAAGGGTTTATAAGTGATCACAGATTTTCATTCTTTTGGCCCTAGCTCGTCTAGTTTAGCCAGAAAATGGAAATTTATGTTTTCACTCAAAAAGTCGAATTTAGGTAGGATTTATAAGTGATCACAGAATTTCATTGTTTTGGCCCTAGCTCTTCTAGTTTAGCCAGAAAATGGACTTTTATGTTTTCACTCAAAAAATCGAATTTTGAAAGGATTTATAAGTGATCACAGATTTTCATTGTTTTGGGCCTAGCTCTTCTAGTTTAGCCAGAAAATGGACTTTTATGTTTTCACTCAAAAAATCGAATTTTGGAAGGATTTATAAGTGATCACAGATTTTCATTCTTTAGGCCCTAGCTCTTCTAGTTTAGCCAGAAAATGGACTTTTATGTTTTCACTCAAATAATCGAAATTTGGAAGGATTTATAAGTGATCACAGATTTTCACTGTTTTGGCCCTAGCTCGTCTAGTTTAGCCAGAAAATGGACTTTTATGTTTTCAATCAAAAAGTCGAATTTAGGTAGGATTTATAAGTGATTACAGATTTTTATTGTTTTGGCCCTAGCTCTTCTATTTTAGCCAGAAAATGGACTTTAATGTTTTCACTCAAAAAATCGAATTTTGGAAGGATTTATAAGTGATCACAGATTTTTATTGTTTTGGCCCTAGCTGGTCTAGTTTAGCCATAAAATGGACTTTTATGTTTTCACTCAAAAAATCGAATTTTGGAAGGATTTATTGATCACAGATTTTTGTTCTTTTTCCCTAGCTCTTCTAGTTTAGCCAGAAAATCGACTTTTTTGTTTTCACTCAAAAATCGAATTTTAGAAGGGTTTATAAGTGATGATTTTCATTGTTTTGGCCCTAGCTCTTCTAGTTTAGCCAGAAAATGGACTTTTATGTTTTCAGTCCAAAAATCGAATTTTGGAAGGATTTATAAGTGATCACAGATTTTCATTGTTTTGGCCCTAGCTCTTCTAGTTCAGCCAGAAAATGGACTTTTATGTTTTCAGTCCAAAAATCGAATTTTGGAAGGATTTATAAGTGATCACAGATTTTCATTGTTTTGGCCCTAGCTCTTCTAGTTTAGCCAGAAAATGGACTTTTAAATTTTCACTCCAAAAATCGAATTTTGGTAGGATTTATAAATGATCACAGATTTTCATTGTTTTGGCCCTAGCTCTTCTAGTTTAGACAGAAAATGGACTTTAATGTTTTCACTCAAAAAATGGAATTTTGGTAGGATTTGTAAGTGATCACAGATTTTCATTGTTTTGGCCCTAGCTCTTCCAGTTTAGCCAGAAAATGGACTTTTGTGTTTTCACTAAAAAAATCTAAGTTTGGTAGGATTTATAGGGGATCACAGATTTTCATTTTATGTTTTCACTCAAAAAATCGAATTTTGGAAGGATTTATAAGTGATCACAGATTTTCATTGTTTTGGCCCTAGCTCTTCTAGTTTAGCCAGAAAATGGACTTTTGTGTTTTCACTCAAAAAGTCGAATTTTGGTAGGATTTATAAGTGATCACAGATTTTCATTGTTTTGGCCCTAGCTCTTCTAGTTTAGCCAGAAAATGGACTTTTGTGTTTTCACTCAAAAAGTCGAATTTTGGTAGGATTTATAAGTGATCACAGATTTTCATTGTTTTGGCCCTAGCTCTTCTAGTTTTGCCAGAAAATGGACTTTTATATTTTCACTCAAAAAATCGAATTTTGGAAGGATTTATAAGTGATACAGATTTTCATTGTTTTGGCTCTAGCTCTTCTAGTTTAGCCAGAAAATGGACTTTTATGTTTTTACTCAAAAAATTGAATTTTGGAAGGATTTATAAGTGATCACAGATTTTTATTGTTTTGGCCCTAGCTCTTCTAGTTTAGCCAGAAAATGGACTTTTATGTTTTCACTCAAAATATCGAATATTGGTGGATTTATAAGTGATCACAGATTTTCATTGTTTTGGCTCTAGCTCTTCTAGTTTAGCCAGAAAATGGACTTTTATGTTTTTACTCAAAAAATCGAATTTTGGAAGGATTTATAAGTGATCACAGATTTTCATCCTTTAGGCCCTAGCTCGTGTAGTTTAGCCAGAAAATGGACTTTTATGTTTTCACTCAAAAAATCGAATTTTGGAAGGATTTATAAGTGATCACAGATTTTCATTGTTTTGGCCCTAGCTCTTCTAGTTTAGCCACGAAATGGACTTTTAAGTTTTCACTCAAAAAATCGAATTTTGGTAGGATTTATAAGTGATCACAGATTTTCATTGTTTTGGCCCTAGCTCTTCTAGTTTAGCCAGAAAATGGACTTTTATGTTTTCACTCAAAAACTCGAATTTTGTAGGATTTATAAGTGATCACAGATTCTCATTGTTTTGGCCCTAGCTCTTCTAGTTTAGCCAGAAAATGGACTTTTATATTTTGGAAGGATTTATAAGTGATCACAGATTTTCATTGTTTTGGCCCTAGCTCTTCTAGTTTAGCCGGAAAATGGACTTTTATGTTTTCACTCAAAAAATCGAATTTTGAAAGGATTTATAAGTGATCACAGATTTTCATTGTTTTGGCCCTAGCTCTTCTAGTTTAGCCAGAAAATGGACTTTTATATTTTGGAAGGATTTATAAGTGATCACAGATTTTCAATGTTTTGGCCCTAGCTCTTCTAGTTTAGCCGGAAAATGGACTTTTATGTTTTCACTCAAAAAATCGAATTTTGAAAGGATTTATAAGTGATCACAGATTTTCATTGTTTTGGCCCTAGCTCTTCTAGTTTAGCCAGAAAATGGACTTTTATGTTTTCACTGAAAAACTCGAATTTTGTAGGATTTATAAGTGATCACAGATTCTCATTGTTTTGGCCCTAGCTCTTCTAGTTTAGCCAGAAAATGGACTTTTAAGTTTTCACTCAGAAAATCGAATTTTGGTAGGATTTATAAGTGATCACAGATTCTCATTGTTTTGGCCCTAGCTCTTCTAGTTTAGCCAGAAAATGGACTTTTAAGTTTTCACTCAGAAAATCGAATTTTGGAAGGATTTATAAGTGATCACAGATTTTCATTGTTTTGGCCCTAGCTCTTCTAGTTCAGCCAGAAAATGGACTTTTATGTTTTCACTGAAAAACTCGAATTTTGTAGGATTTATAAGTGATCACAGATTCTCATTGTTTTGGTCCTAGCTCTTCTAGTTTAGCCAGAAAATGGACTTTTAAGTTTTCTCTCAGAAAATCGAATTTTGGTAGGATTTATAAGTGACCGCAAATTTTCATTGTTTTGGCCCTAGCTCGTCTAGTTTAGCCAGAAAATGGACTTTTATGTTTTCACTCAAAAATTGATTTTTGGAAGGGTTTATAAGTGATCACAGATTTTCATTGTTTTGGCCCTAGCTCGTCTAGTTTAGCCAGAAAATGGACTTTTATGTTTTCACTCAAAAATTGATTTTTGGAAGGGTTTATAAGTGATCACAGATTTTCATTGTTTTGGCCCTAGCTCTTCTAGTTTAGCCAGGAAATGGACTTTTAAGTTTTCACTCAAAAAATCGAATTTTGGTAGGATTTATAAATGATCACAGATTTTCATTGTTTTGGCCCTAGCTCTTCTAGTTTAGCTAGAAAATGGACTTTTATGTTTTCACTCAAAAAATCGAATTTTGGAAGGATTTATAAGTGATCACAGATTTTCATTGTTTTAGCCCTAGCTCTTCTAGTTTAGCCAGAAAATGGACTTTTATGTTTTCACTCAAAAACTCGAATTTTGTAGGATTTATAAGTGATCACAGATTCTCATTGTTTTGGCCCTAGCTCTTCTAGTTTAGCCAGAAAATGGACTTTTATGTTTTCACTCAAAAACTCGAATTTTGGAAAGATTTATAAGTGATCACAGATTTTCATTGTTCTGGCCCTAGCTCTTCTAGTTTAGCCAGAAAATGGACTTTTATATTTTGGAAGGATTTATAAGTGATCACAGATTTTCAATGTTTTGGCCCTAGCTCTTCTAGTTTAGCCGGAAAATGGACTTTTATGTTTTCACTCAAAAAATCGAATTTTGGAAGGATTTATAAGTGATCACAGATTTTCATTGTTTTGGCCCTAGCTCTTCTAGTTTAGCCAGAAAATGGACTTTTATGTTTTCACTGAAAAACTCGAATTTTGTAGGATTTATAAGTGATCACAGATTCTCATTGTTTTGGCCCTAGCTCTTCTAGTTTGACCAGAAAATGGACTTTTAAGTTTTCACTCAGAAAATCGAATTTTGGTAGGATTTATAAGTGATCACAGATTCTCATTGTTTTGGCCCTAGCTCTTCTAGTTTAGCCAAAAAATGGACTTTTAAGTTTTCACTCAGAAAATCGAATTTTGGAAGGATTTATAAGCGATCACAGATTTTCATTGTTTTGGTCCTAGCTCTTCTAGTTTAGCCAGAAAATGGACTTTTATGTTTTCACAGATTTTCATTCTTTAGGCCCTAGCTCTTCTTGTT